ACGTAAACGTGCACAAGAGGAAGAGGAAGTAGAAGCTGTTGGCCCAATGTTACCTACTGCTGAACATTCCAGCTTAATTCCGTTAGACTATGGCCGAGCATTATTACCGGGCGAAGGTGCAGCAATGGCAGCTTATATTGCCGAAGGTAAACGTATACCACGACGTGGTGAAATCGGTCTAACCCCAGAAGAGATTGAATCGTTTGAAAAAGAGGGTTATGTCATGTCAGGTAGTCGTCATCGTCGTATGGAAGCTGTTCGTTTGCGTAAAGAGAACCAGATATACTCAGCCGATGAGAAACGTGCTTTAGAACATTTTAACCATGCTGAGCGTGCTAAACGTGAAGCAAAATTGCAGGCTCAATTTAAGGCATTGATTAAACGAAAGTTAGAAGACAAACAAGCTGCTCCTCCGCCAAGTTAAGAAAAGAATAAATTTTTCGATAACTGCTAACATATTTCAATTTCAGAGAGTTTTTCAAATCAATGTCTTGTATATAATTTAATTTCATGTACACTATAAAGTAGTTTCCTTGATCAACTAAGGAATTCAGCTGAATTGGACGATTACGGTTGTCATTCCATATGAACGTTATTTTTCACATTGGTAACTTTTTTAGTGTGCAATTTGACAATCTAATTGTCAGTAATGATGTACATAAACTGAACTAATCAATTGCTTTGTCGTGTATATAGTAGAAATGTACTATATATTTTCAATCGAAATAGTTTTGACTTGCTTACCTTTTATGCAAACGTTTCTTGAAATTACTTGGTATTGGATTTGGGATAGCCTTAATAAAGTAGACTGATGTGTATACAAATTTACTAGTCACAATAATAAAAGAAAGCAATGAGATTTGTAAAATGATCCTAATATCAAAGATAGTAAGACCAAAAATTGAAAATATAATAATAATAATAATAATAATATAGTACAATCAAAATCGGAAAATATAAAGTTTGAAATAGTAATGTTACTTAAGATTTATGTGGAGATAGAAAATGAATGCAATTACGCCAGTGGAAGTGATTTGAATAATAATGACTCAAACCAATAGCCAATGATTCCGTGAATTGATGGCATGTATCAGTTTACCAATCTGTAATCATCTTCCGAATTGCTCCTGTGCATATCTGAGTAGGCAATAAATGCCCGTGTTAGGTAACTCTCAGTTACCTCAATCACTTATATTATTATAATTCACTTCACAACTAATGACGTAATATAATCTGGTTAAAGTTGCTGGGCTGATTGTGTCGACCATATTTGTACAACTTGTGATCGTTTTCTAGATAGTGACCTGAAGCTTATTGCCTACAAAATAACCAATAACTTTTAATTTATGTGGAGCGTTAATGTGAGGAATGTTTGTAGTGTACCCCCTGTGTATATTTGGGATAAATCTTGGTTTAATCAGTGTGATTAAATCTGGCACAAGCTGATGGTTGACCTCTCCTTAATATTTCTGTAGAATACATGATATATATGTGCGACTAGAGTCTCCAACCACCCTCTTTTTATGATTCGAGGGAAGTGCTACAAAGATTGGTTCTACAGATAGCACACTAGTAGGTTTATACAGTCTCTATAGTACTAATAAACACTTAGAAACTCACTCTAGTGGGAACAAAATATGGAGGAGACAGAGTGGGATTCAACTGTGAGGCAATATGGAATAGGTAGAGGCGATTTATAGCAGTAGATCAGATTTAGTGAGCGGATAATCTTACCAGAAATCAACTCACCAAGCGACTATTATAATGGTGGTCAGAATACTGAGAGAGACGACTAAGTAGTTTTTCTTCTTGGTTTTTTAGTGGTAATTCGCAAGATACACGCGTTATATATTCTGATTTCTGCTTATGTTGGTCGACAAAAGGCGTAACTTACCAGCTGAATTCCTGGTTAATGTGGTATTTTAGTCTTCGCTCAACTATCGCCTTAGTATCCTTACAATCAAAGCTAGCGGTTATCAGCCTTTTAATAGGTTACTAGTTTACCATCTGAACTTCTTACGAGTGCATCTGGACACCTGTTATCTTGATTTCAGTTAAGTGTTGAACGTTTACCTCAGGTTTTGAAAATAGACGTATATATTCCTGTTCTGGAATATAATACTTGATACCATTCTGTTACTTGTTGATTAGGCAATTAAGTATTCATTTTTGGAACATGTCACAACCAATTAGTAGAATCTCAAAACTCTGACGTAGTTGTGAGTTCTTCAATTTGTTGGTGCCGTACAGACAAACTGTCCTTGTATCTGTTTCTTTACCATTATGGATTTGGATAAACTATTAACATGATAGCAAAATTTTTCTTTAGTAGTGAACGTTTTTTAAATGACCATCCTTGGTTCTAAGATGACTAACATGAGAAAACAGAATACATGCAGTGAGGAATGTTGGTTAGGCTAAATACAAATATTTTTTTAAGAATTGCGGGTTTCTAAGTTAATGTATATTACAGATTTAGAGTGCTGGGAGGGAGATGTTTAATTTATACGATAAACTAAAGTTCTTACCGATACTTGAGTTGAGGCGTATATATGCTATACAAACGAAAAAAATACAAAACATGTGAGCTGCGGTTATTCCATAATCACTGGACATGCACTAATTTGCATTTTCTAATATTTAATTACGTAAGGGCTATTCAAGATCATACTGTTATTCATGCAATCCCTTTCAAGGAAAGGGTACTCTGTGTAGAACAAATTCAGTAGAATGTAGTGCATAAACGCAGTTAAACCTGGGAATAAACCTACTAGCCGTTAAATAAACTGAAAATCATAACCGAATAACTTTTAAATAATCAAATAAATTCATTTAGTAGGATAATTACATTATGATCAGAAGAAAAAACGATCACAAAGATTTCCAGTTTTTTATATATTATCTCGTGAAAATTTAGCTTTCGATAATTTTGAAAATTTAGTCTTTTTATGAAAAACTTTCAAAGGAATATTCTTCGAGGATTTCATCTGGTTACCACCTTGAATTCTCTTTCGTTTCTGTCTTCCCATGCCAACTTCTCTCAAAAGACGCCGACGTTCAAGTGGCGTTACTCTTTGACTAATTGAATTGTTTGATTTACCGATGCCAGCTCCAAGTGGAACAAACGCAAAAGGTTCTGGCATACCAGGTCGCTTCATATCACCTTTTGCTTTGCTTGATGCGTAGATACGACCAGGTATTGGAATAGTTCTCTTTTTTCTATGTTTAACATCATTTTTATTCACACAGGAAGTCGACTGTATGTTAGCATCATCATCGTCATCACCATCGAGATCCCATTCTGCTAATTCAAGAAAAATAAATATTGCAACCTATTTTGAATGTGAAAGCGACTTTAGTTTACAATAGGCTCTCACGTAAACCGATCGGCATTACAAACATATCATTACTATCCTAGAACGTATTCATATTCAGTCGAGCCGCTTTAAAAAAGGTCTTACGGTCTTAGCTTTGTATTTGAAAAGATATCCGATAATTATATTGCGTCTTAAACGACTTGTTTAAAATACGAGGCGGAGAATAGCGTCCTTAACTCTTCGACACCTTACATAGTCGTTCCATCTCAACCAGTGCTGTCACGTATAAACAATATGCGACCTGGCATATAAATGCATCAGTTCGAATTGCCACAATATATTGCTTCTAATTTTCTTAAAAAGAATTATATGTAGTATCAGTTAGCTACAACGCAGAACCAGGCACATATGTACATCGGTCCAAGTTGCCATGCCACATTAGCACAAGATGAACAACGAATCCATAGAAGTAGCTAATTAAGTGGTAATATATAAAAGAAAGATTGCATATAAGGATACAGTACAGGAAGAAAGAATTAGATTGTAGAAAGAAAGACATGAAGCGATTTTAATCCCTTAGTTTAAGAGAAGACAAAGAGTGTATACACCTACACTGTTGTGATTGATTCTGAGCCAAGTCACCAAGAGTCTCCATCTCCAAACATGCCTCAACTAGAAGTTGGTGAATTCAAGCACTGATGCCACGTTTTGGTTTGGCCGCCCCTAACTTTCAACAATACCAAACACCGGTTAGCATTTCACGTCATGGTAATCGGTGTTCAGGCATACGTAACACGTCGCCCAACCATCTCAGTCGATGAAGATTTACAACCTCATCAACTGATTTACCATCATTCCGTAATATCCTGTGTCTAACCTCACTATTACTTACCCGGTGATCCCAGCAGATGCCAGAAATATTTCTAAGACATCTGTGGTCAAATACTAGTAGCTTACGAGTACCTTCTACTCTTAATGGCCGTGTTTCGCTGTCGTAAAGTAAAACAGAACGAACTGCCGCACAGTATACTTGTCCATTAATTGATAGACGGATATTTCGCCTCCGCCATAGGTGACGCAAGTTGACAAAAGCCAAACGAGCTTTTCGAATCCGTGCTGAGATTTCGTCAGGTACCAACCCATTACTGCTGATCAGGCTTCTAAGGTAAGTGAAGTTGTCGACGCGTTCGACTACTTCACTCGCTATCCTTAGTTCAGGTGTTTACGCAGACCAGTCCTGAAGCAGTAACTTGCATTTAGAGGGGAGGAAACACGTTTCAAACATCTTAGCATTGTTGCTTAGTGCTACCAAAAGACTGCACTTTATCAGCGTCTTCACCAAACAGGACTATGTCATCTGCGTGTTCTGAGTCGATAAGTGAACTTCCTGGTAGGGGATCAATCCATGAAAACTCAGACGACGAGAGTGTTATTTCCATCAGTAGGTGTATGAAGAAGTTAAACAAAAATGGGGAAAGTGGACAGCCTTGACGGACACCACTTGAGGTTCCAAAAGCAGATGACAGTTCGCCATAAGCTCTGACTCGACTAGTACTGTTCGAGTAAAAACGCTTCACAAGGTTTATGTACATCTGAGGTACAACTCTCAATGACAGACACTGACACAGAATCTCGCGATCCACAGAGTCATGCTGCTTTAAAGCTAAGAATGACTACCATTATCGGACACCGACAAGCATACCTGTATTCTAGAACCTGACGAATGGTGAATATGTGGTTGATGCAGCCACGACCAGGTCTGAAGCCAGCTGGATTCTCTCGTGTTTGCAGTTCACGTGCCTTAGTTAGGCGTCCAATAATTATCGAGGCTAGTATTTTAGATACTATATCAGTTAAACTAATCCCTCTGTGGTTGTCACAGGATAATTTTACCCCTTTCTTATATATTGAGACAATCAGTGGTTGTGACCAGTCAGATGGGATTACGTCCAACTCCCAGATTTTAGCTAAAATATTAGTTACCTTAATCGCCAAAAATGGACCATTATCTTTAAATACCTCTGGAGTTAATCCATCTGGACCAGTAATATGGTGAGCCAATCAGAAGTGACCTAAAGGACAAGTGCATTTCACTGGCTAAGAAATGAGTCAATGTCCTAAAGACACAGTGGTATATATATGGATGAGCATCTGTACGTTTTATTCGGTAGTCCAATACACTTTCTCACCACTGTTTTGTTCTCGATCAAGTGGTCAGTTGGGGGGGGGGTAGCGCGTAGCACACGTTTCATCAGTATCAGATTTCGGACACCGCAAGTCACAACAACCAGCTGCTATTCCTCGTTTCAGATTAGCCATAGCCTTTTAAACTTCAATTAGATTCAGAGGGTCTATTTCAATGTTCCATTCAGCCTATTTGGAAATGGTGGGTAATCGTAGAATATGTTTCTATCCTTCCAAGTTTTTACGGAGCCGTTTAGCCAATGGTTCGGTATTTTAGGGTTTTAGCCAAGGAGGCCTGCTAGCTGATTTGACGTAGGGCGTGTACGTTGAAGGCTCCAATGTGTAGTTTGGAGCAAGGCTTCAGTAGACCTGGGACAGTATTTCGCGCACTAGGATCGTTGACCATGGTGATTCGAGGGTAAATCGAAGAAACAACTTTAGGTTTGATAGTCGAGGTAGGAAGGATAATAGAAATGGTAGAGGTAATTTGGTTATGAATACAGTGGCCTTGGGTGCTGTTCGAGATGTGGGGGCGGTTATCACTTCCCGGTCGCCCACACCGTGGAAGGGTTCTTCTAGAGGTATCTGAAAATGAAATTGGGTTAGAGGTGGTCTTAGTGACCTGAGAGCGTGACCGCAGTGCCCAAGGGACAACTGCTCGAAGTCGGTCACACACGACCTTTTTGTGGGTAATTTTCGTGTTACCTCCGTAATTATTGGAACCTTACTGTCGGAGACAGATATCCGTGGGATAAGGTGAGGTGTGCATTTTTAGGGTCGACCTTTTCTAACCCCACCTCTCCCTGTGGGAAGGCAGCATCGCTGTTATGCTGGTTTTCTGAGGGAAACACCTTACTGTTGTCACACCTCTGTACAGTCAGCAGTACGACTTCGCCCTCGGATCTTGGGTTTTCTGCTTTTAGTCCTACCGCTCTTCAACCGAGCTGCCTGTCATGGTAGGACCTTGAGGAACGGTTGTTCCAGCCAGTATAGCTCGACTGGTTCATTACAATAGGCGAGCCCGACCACCACATGAAGGTAGTAGCAGCAACGGTCGGGCAGTTTAGTAACAATTAAGTCAATCATCTTGTTTGTTTCGGTTACAATATGCAGCACTTACCCAACATAATTTATTTGAAGGACTAATTACATTCGCGTGTTAATTTTAAAACATGCTGCTAATTATAATGCTTGTTGGGGAAGGCTATGCGGACAGTTGTGCAATTATACTAGTTATTTTGATTACTAATCGGATATCTAGATTGTAAATATTGACAAGACATAGTTTTATAACGGGTAATTGGCTATTATTTTTTCCCTCATGTATGTACGATACAATTTAGTAGACTACTGAGTTTATCAAGTAACTAAGCGGCACTTAACTATTTATCGTATATAGCCAGTAAATCATCCGTATATCTCTTAAACAACGCTACCGCATCATATTGTCAACATATAACAAACATACTTCAGTTGACAGATGTCCACTGCGTCCACCATGTTCATCGATAGCCTGGGCTATTCGCTACTGTATTTTATGACCTATAGAAGTGCGATAATTTTGTATTATTTACATATTATGTTAATTTTATCCTCTCCTTTATTTAAAGTTATCACTTCATGTTTATTTATTTAATTGACCTTGATTAATTTTCATATAAAATGCTTTGACTAGCGTATGTGTGACTAGATTATGTACGCAAATACATTACACTTTTCAAATCAAATTCATCTTCTCATTGTACTGTCAAAAAGTATTCTATCATCAAATTGGCACAGTACAACTACAACATGCTTACTTGAATGATCTTTTTTAGTCAGCATTAATTGATTTTCATCAGTTGTACTACCACTAATAACAATTTTCCCGTTAACAATAGGAAAAGGTTGATTATTATGTTTATTAGTTGATTGCGAAGCAGATAATTTTGATTGTTCAGCCAATGAATTCTGAAAAATGTTAACCATAGCTTTTGCTGTCATACCATCCGGTGCAAAGGCTGTATGACGAGCGAGTGATTTAGGATCAGATAAATCTAAAATTTCTGAACTGTCAGGATTTTCTACAAGCCATAGATCTGAATCATTCGAAGGCTGATGACGTGATGATGCAGTGGTTACTGCTGATAATGTATGTCGCGACACCTGACTACGAGTTTTTGATGTATGACTAATTGTATCAGTGGCAAAACGAACTTGATGTTTAGATTTAAATGGATGTTTACATAAGGCTTTATTAATCTCTTCATCGTCGTCATCATCATCTTCACTATAGGCACCTATATCAATATCCATATTGTCCACCATATTATTGAAAGATCCATTTTCAGTTAAATTTCTACGTGAACGTCTACACAATCCAGCAGTAAGTTTGGCATTTTCCAATTCTTCTACTAATGATTTTGTATGTTTCAATGATAAACTGTCACGAGGTGATGATTTAGTTTGACTCCGATTAGATTTAGCATGTGAATGGATTGAAGGACGATCATCATCTTCACTTGAAGAGGTGGCTAACAGTTCATCCATCCTTGAATACAAAATGATAAAAAGAAATCGAAGGGATAATATGAGAAAAAACACTAGATTGTCGGGCATATGAAATAGATGTACAACTGATTATCTTAAGTGTATTCTTTGAATTATACTGGAGTATCGATTGATAATAATTTAGTGTAAGCGGGGCAGGGACGAAGATAGTGGCATCGGTTTCGTTCACTTTGATCATAATCATCGTTAATATTATTTGAAAATGGGATTGTTCATAGATTCTATAGGATTTGATAGAGTATTCCTATACTATATGAGAGCTATGCTTTATGATTGTCCTAGCAGCTAGAATAAACACGAATGATAACTTTTAATTTCTCTTTGGTGGGATTCATTAACATTAAGTGCGAATTCACACATTTCTTGTAGATATTATTTCTGTGTAAACACTAGCTGATAGCTTAGTTCTGATAAACAATTTTTTTTACAATGTTTATATCTTGTATTCGCCAACAAGAGAACGATCAATCAATTATGTTTAGTAAAACTAGCCTATTCACAATTATGAAGTAACACCACATTCAATTTGAGTCACTCAATAAGTCAGTCATGTATAACGTGTGACCAATGACGGTCCAAGTTGCCATACCTCATTAGCAAAACGAGATGAACACTAAATTCATAGAAGCAGTTACTTCAATGGTAGTAATATATAAAAATATTGTATATGGTACGGGGAGAAAGAATTACCCCGTAGAAAGAAAGGTATGAAGTAAGTTTAATCTCACAGTTTAAGGGGAGACAAAAAGTGTGTTAAGTCTCTTTTACGTTCTGTCCTTATTCACTTCACTTCAACTTTTGTGTACTATTTTATACTACTTATTACTATTCAGTAAATATAAGTTAAAAATAATTTATTTGTAATTTTATTTATAACAATCAACCCAATGCTCAATTTATTCGAAATTATCAAATCAAACCTTGGTAATGATACCTATATTCAGTAAATAGTTGTATTCACAGCAATTTTTACGCCCATACTCAAACGCGAGTTTGTCGTGTTATATTCTGAAATATTTACATATACTTGTAACATTCATCGTATTCATCATGATAATTACTTTAATCTCACTATTACCTATCCGGTGATCCTAGCGGATGCGAGCAATATTTTTAAGACATATGTGATCAAATACTAGTAGCTTACGAGTATCTTCTACTCTTAATGACCACGTTACAATATAAACCATCACTGTGTGACACGGGAATATCAACATTAAACGATAAATTCAGGATTGCTGGCCTCGAGTTAACCCAAGTCATTACTTTAAAAAAACGCGTAGAACTATTACACATAGATTGGAAAGAGATAAACAAAACATACCGAGCAATATGTACACGTTTTGGCAGAGATAATGATGATGGTTTACTGTGAATAGATGAACGAATACTTTTAATATCATTGGATATTGATCGCCTTGAATTATGGTCCGAGTCAATGTCGGATATTTGTTGGCGAGTAGATCCACTAATCAATGACAACGATGATGGTGTTGTCTTTGAAGTTGGCTGTTCAAGCATTTTAGATTTACGTTCACGACGAGCTATTAGTTTAACTGAATTGCGTACCATTTTTTGATGTTCAACACTCAACAAACCCTGAATAGCTTGACGTCTGTAAAACAATAACATAGTAATAAAAAGCGTAATCTTGATTTTTATAATATGATACATAAAAAAATTAGTCATCACATATTACTCTCGTGACTGATAAACATGAATCCTAAATACTGTCATATCGGATGGACAAATGTATACTTAAATCATACAAACTGAGGCTTTATAAACCTTAAACTTCAACTCCTGAGAATTCAGATGAGGAAAGTGTTATCTCTAAAAGCACATCAACGACAAAGTTAAACAAGAATGGAGAGAGTTGACAGCCCTGACAAACACCACCTGAGGTAATCAATTCTGATGACAGTTCGCCATAAGCTCTCACTCTACCAGTTGTGTTCGAGTAGAGAGCCTTTACAAGGTTAATGTACTTCTTTGGTACTCATTTCAGTGACAGACACTGCCAGATATTCACATTACGTTAGGTCCTAGAAAATAGACACACATTCAGACGCCCCACAATCGTAGTATTTCTCGACCTTAAGGCGGCATTTGACTCTGTCGGTCGTGAGGTTGATGTGCTTTTAGAATCTGAATTCCCAGGAGTTGAACTTTTACTGGGAGATTTGCTTGTTGACTTAGAATATGCCGACGACATAGTTCTATTTGGTGAAGTTGCTGACAAAATGCAGTCTTCTGACCACTCTAAGCAACAATGCAGGCATGTTCGGGATGCGATCCCCCGTCGAAATGCAAAATGTTGCTTCAGGATTGGGTTGCATCGACACCCGAACTAATGATAGGGAGTGTGAAGTAGTTGTGTCGACTGCCTCACATATCTGGGAAGTCTCATCAGCCTTTGTGGTCTGGTGTTCCTGGGTTCCAGTGACGGTCAAACGAAGATGTGGCACCAACTGAAAACTGGACTGTACCATGTAAATAGATATAGATTAATTGACTCGGGTAAGCAGGTTCATCGTAACCAATAGTTATTGACAGTAGGTGACATGGTTCACGAT